TCTAGAATTGCAATTGAAGATCAAGTATGGTATTCAAAGTCGTAAATCTTGGATTTTTGGTACAAAAACATAGAGAATCCCTATATAACATGAAAACACTTCCAATTGAAACCATTTATTCAAAATTGCAGCAAATTCTCAACCATTAACTTCAATTTCAAGTTACAAAATAATGTTTAATTCAAATTAGATGCATATCTCTTCAAAACACACACAAAACATAATCAAGCGACATGGGAAGAATGGAAACATGGAGAATTCTTCAAAATGAGGTATAATTGTGCCATGCATGTATGAATTTCATGGAGCTTAACTCTAAATATGTATGCATGTAAGCAATTCAACTTCATCCTTCCATTTCTTGAAATTCATAGCTCATTTTCTTCAACAACATGCCAATGAATACAAAAATGAGAGAAATACACTTCTATATGCCATGTCTACATGAATTAATGATGAGTGTCTTACCTAGTGTTGAATTTGAGTGTGGTTTAAAGCTTGATTCCCCAATTCTCTAGCAATTCTCTTCAAATTCTTCTTTCTCTCTCTAAAGTGTTGAGTTCACTCCCTTCTCTCTCTCAAATTTCAACCAAAGAGTGTTTTTATGAGTTCATAGGTTAATTTGAGCCTTATATATGATGCACTTAACTTAACCTTAATCAAAGTTAATTAGGATTAATCAATTAGGCTTAATACTAACTAATTCAATCAGTTTATCTAATTATTTTGATCCAAATCAAATTTCAATTGAAGTTGCCATAAAATTCTAAATATTCCAAATAGCCTATTGGGCTAGACAATTTCAGTTCCTGAAGTCATTTAGGCTCCCAATTGCCAACTCTAAGTTGCCAATTTAAACAGATATTCCATAAGTCAACAGATAATTATAGAATCAAGCATGTATTCACACAATCAAGCACATAATTATGTAATTAAACTCATTAAAATTACATAATGTACTAGTTTGGAGGTCGGGGTCGTCACAAGTCCCCCGGACTATTAGTCCCACAAATATGGGACTATCATATCCTATGGGGGGGTGGGATAGAAACCATGGGATACCAATTCCAGGGAATTATTTTGTGAAATGTCCATTTTACCCTCCATGCTATTACTTAGCAAACAATTAGAAAAGAATAAAATAGTCTTTTGAACATTTATAAATTATTTTTTTAGTGTTGTTAATTTAAAATTATATATTAAATAAAAAATTTTAATTAGAAATTATAAATTAAATTTAATTAAAAAAATAAATTATAAAATTAAGATTAAATTTTTTTAGTGTTGTTAAAAAATTAAATTTACATATTAAATTAAATTATTTTTTTATTGTCGTTAATTTAAAATTATATATTAAATAAAAAATATAAATTATAAATTAAATTTATTTAAAAATAATAAATTATAAATTATGATTTTATAAATTAAATTTTTTTAGTGTGGTTGAAAATTTAATTTATATATTAAATAAAATTATTTTTTATTGTCGTTAATTTAAAATTATATATTAAATAAAAAAATATAAATTATAAATTATAAATTTAATTTAATTGAAAATAATAAATTAGAATAATTAAAATATTGTGCAAAAAATAAAATGTAACAAATTTTTATTTAATCTAGTTAAAAATAATTAAAATATTAAAACTATGTTTAATATTGCTATTACTTAGTAAATAATTGAAAATGATAAAATAGTCATTTGAGTATTTATCCTTCTTCATAGTATCCCAAACAAACATTGAATAACTAAAAATAGTCCAATTCAGACATCTAATCTCATGACTAAACAAATATAGGATACAAATTTAGTCCAATCAAATAGTCTTGGGACAATATATCCCAAGACTAATAGTCCGATGGATTACAATCCCCCTTTACCTAGTCCGTCCAAACATAAGCACCCACTGAGTATAATTTGCCAAAACCTAAAATTTCACCCTACTGATCATATGTACTACCACCCAAATAACTTATTTTTGTTTGGTTTGTATCTCAAAATACAATTTTTGAAAAAGAATTTCAAAATTTTGTTTGGTGTAAATTTTTTTAAAAAACATTTCAAAATCATTTTCTCTCTCCTGTACATCAATCAATCATTTATTTTTTCTCTCATCTCTCATTCTCAATAACTTTTTTTCTCACACACATCTACTCAATTACGAGTAATGCTAGATATTTTAAAAATTCTATTAAAGTTTCTACCAAATGTTTCACATGGGTATGAGACGCACATAATGTGGGTCACACACCCATGTATGGCATTTAGTAGAACTTTTAGTAGAATTTTTGGGCTCTCTAACATTTTGTTCAACTACAAGAAAATATCAAATTATTCCAAACTCCAAAATTATTTTCAAAATATACAATCAAACAAATCAATTTTTTTTTTTAAACCCTCTCCCAAAAATTTCTTTTAAAAATGGGTAAATTAAAAATACATCTCTTGAGGTTTACTTGAAATACAAATTGACCCATGTGATTTGAAAAATTACAAATACCCTCTTATTAGGATTTTTTATTTAACATAATTAACTGAAAAAATAAAATTCATAATTGTTCTCCTGTATAGTAATAAAATTACCTAAATTATTAATTGGAACACATTTTAACATCATTAAAAACTGTTAATTGACTTGATGATTTATTAATAAAAGAAACAATTTATTATGAAATTAGAAAATCTTAAGAGGTGGAATGTAATTTTTAAAATCGTAAAGGACAATTTGTATTTTAATAAAATCTCAAATGATGTATTTATAATTTATTCAAAAATTTATGTCAAAATACCAGCCAAATACACCAAAACTTGTGATCTCATCCTCATGTTATACAAGGAAAATGTTATGGGTCCCAAATAAATTACTAAAATATTTTATCAAATTTTTCACATGGGTGTGAGACTTATACAAATCACATATACATCCATATAAGAGGTTTAATAGAATATTTGATAATTCGTTTGGATTTATACCTCTGCCGGTGGTTTTGAATGCACCAATTAGTATATATATTACTGTACCAACTAATGTTATGATATTATTATTGACTACATTTATTATATAAGTTATAAATACTGAAAATCATATAAATAATACTATATTATCTGTTAATACACTAATATATATATATTGTGGGTGTTTAGGAAGTGAATTTTTTTGTAAGTTTTTTTAGTTGTAGAATATTATTGGAGAATTTTTTTTTTGTGTTTGGGAAGATAGTTAGGTTTTTTTGTAGTTGGATTTTTTTGTGGTTAGATGTGATGTTTGTGAGAGAAAAAGTGAAATGATTATGGAGTTTGATATGATATTTTGTTTAGATTAAGGCCAAGTTTGGCATGACCTAAATAATACAAAAAGTCAAAAAGTCACTATCTTATTTAAGTCACATCATCTTATTTAAATCACATCATCTCTCTAACACATCACATCAAACCCAACCCAAACTCAACCCATATAAACCAATAAGTCAAAAAGTACACTTTTTTAGAACATCCCAAACCAACCCTAATTTTTTTTTTTGATAAAAAAGTCAATGCCAAACAAAACTTTTGATGTGACAATAATTTATTTTACTTTATTTTATTGTTGAATACATCCTTTAGGCAACCTCTCTCTCCACCTGTGGAGGGAAATTTGAATTTACAATACTCCCTCTCTCCCAAAATAATAGTTCTTTTTAGAGAATTCAATTTTTTTTTGATAGTACAATTATTACACTTTAAAAAAGTTAATTTTTCAAAATTACCCTTTTGATAGTACATTTTTTAAGAATATCAATGTCATAATTGTACTTTTTATCTTGTTTATTAATTTAAAAGAAGGGCAAAATAGGAAATTTATATTATTTTTGTACTTGATTTTTGAAGAGGGACTACACCTCTTAAATTTCCTTTAGAGCTCTTTTGAAACTCTCAAACATAATTTAATTATTAATTAATCATGGTTATGTGGGTATTTTTTTTGTAGGTTTTTTTAGTTGTAGAATATTATTAGAATTTTTTTTTTTTTTTGTGTTTGGGAAGTTAGTTAGGTTTTTTTGTAGTTGAATTTTTTTGTGGTTAGATGTGATGTTTGTGAGAGAAAAAGTGAAATGAAGTTGGATTTTTTTGTGGTTAGATGTGATGTTTGTGAGAGAAAAAACGAAATGATTATGGAGTTTGATATGATATTTTGTTTAGATTAATTTTTTTTTGATTTTGTAAATCATTTATCTTGTAGTGAAAAAAAATTTAAAAAAAAAAATCCAAAAATGTAGTTGTCAAACACCACCAATAATTAGTACATATAGGCCCTGTTTGTTTGGGGTTATAGGAAGGGGATTGAGACTACTAATATTTAGTATTACTAATACCTTGTCTATTTTGAGAGATGGCTTTAAGACTACTAATATCTTAATATTACTAATATTCTTAGAAGAGAAATTCAAAGTGAAAAGGTAGAGATGATATTAAAAAAATAGTGAGAGAATTAAAAAAAAAATTATTATTTTTTATTTTTTATATATTGAATTTTTTTTTTTAAATATTAATATTTAATTTTTATGTTTTTATTTTTATTTTATTACTTTATTTAAAAATAATTTAATAATTTTTCATTATTAATCCATTCACTACGACTCTTTTCCATTCCATCATCAAATACAAATGGGCATAGTATTATTCGAACTCCGCAACAAAGTCTTACGAAAGAGAAAGGAAAGTAGATTCATCACACGTTGCGTTAATGACAGTGAAAAGAGTAAAGTCACCAACCTATTTGCGAGAAAATCACAGCCGTCGAAAATTAAATCTGACACGCTTTTTGAGATTCGAACTCTGCTTACGAAAGAGAAAAGAAAGTAGATTCCATCACACGTTGCGTTAATGAGAGTGAAAGAGTAAAGTCACCAACCTATTTCCGAGAAGATCACAGCCGTCAAAAACTAAATCTGACACGCGTTTTGAGATAGACAAGCACCGCCTTCAATTCAATAATAAATGCATTTTTTTTTTTCACTTAACTTCTCTTCCATTACAATTTCGTTTCATTCGGATTCTCACATTCTCTCTCATAAAACTCGCTTTCTTTTACTCTTTCTCTCACTAGACTAGATAGAAGAGTGGATAGCAGGAAATGGCAGATTGGGGACCGGTGTTGGTGGCGGTAGTGCTGTTCGTGCTGTTGACTCCAGGTCTGCTGTTTCAACTGCCAGGTCGCAACAAAGTGGTGGAGTTCGGGAACATGCAGACTAGTGGGGCCTCTATTCTGGTTCACGCCATCATCTACTTCGGCCTCATCACCATCTTCCTCATCGCCATCGGCGTCCACATCTACACCGGTTAACTACTCTCTCTCTCTCTCTCTCGCTTAGATCTGAAAAACTTGAAAAAAGCTTCCTTTGATGTAATTTCTTTATTGGAATATCTATGGTATGACATTTAACCGTTTCTTAAAAAAATTTAATTGGATCTTGATTTTTAGATTTTTACTGATAAAAAATTTTCTGTTTAATGATTCTCATCGATAAGAAATCTCGTCTGACTGGAGCCAAGCCATTCTTTTTTGTTTTTATCTCCAATTTTTTTCCCTAATTTTTTCCGTGATTTGTTAAGAACGAAATCATTGGGTGTGTATGGTTTGATTTTGAGAGACTAATTTTCAAAAAAAAGTTTTGGAGAGAATTTAGAATTTTTTTCAATGTTTGGTCGTATATTTTGAAAGTAATTTTGGAATTTGAGAATTTGGGATGATTTAATATTTTATTGTAATTGAGTAAATTTGCGAGAAAAGATGATTGAAAAAAAGAAAAGAGAGAAAAATTGATTGATTAACATGTAAGAGAGAATAATTTTAAATTTTTTTTGAAAAAAATCTAAAATCAAACAATTCTTGAATTTTTTTTTCCAAAAATCCTCTCTCAAAGCTAAACCAAACACACCCATTGATTTTGCTTGTGCGAATCCAACACTAGTATCGTGGATCCCACAATTTTTTAATCATAATAAATGGAGATTATTGGATGTGATAGTGGGATTATTGTGGAATGTTTGATTATAATGGGATTTAACATGAGATAAAATTTAAAAATAGAAAATGCTTTGGAATGCCTCAAAATTTACTTCAAAATTAGAAGCAATGCTATACATATTTTAATTTTTTAGTTTGTTTTTCCTCGCTTCCACATATTTTTCAATGGAACTCACATTTTTAAATATAAACATATGTGAAATTAACTCATATATATATATATATATATATTAGGCCTCGTTTGGGAACAGGTTATTTTAATAATTTTTTGGCTTTTTACGAAAAGATGTGCAGAAAAGTAGAGAGGTGATGTGACTAGTTTTAGTTGACTTTTTGACTAAAATAGTCGGTCCCCAAACGAGGCCTTAGTGGTTGTACACAAAAGGCGTGTGTACAAGTAAGCATAGAAATAAATAATAAAGAAATTAATATTAATAAAAAAATTAGTATCATAATATATATGTTGGTTAAATAGTAAGGAAGTTCCTTAATAGAAACTTAAGGTCTGAGATTAAATTTTGCTCACTTTTTTAATAATATTTTTTATTTTAAAATAGAAAAAATTGTCATGTGGCATAAGGAGAAGCTATTTTTTATTTTAAAATAAGAAAATTTGTCACGTGATAGAAAGAAAAGCCACCACATCATTAGATACCAAGGTATGTGCTCACATATATAATAGTATATATATATATATAATTAAATGAGAAAATTTGAAATTTATCCAAAATGTTTGAGATTTTACCAATTGAACTCAGTAAAATTAGAAAAACAAAAGAGAATCGTTATTTCTATTTTACTTTTTTATAAATATACTCTAAAATTTACCTTTAGTATTTAAAATTATACATATTAATGCACATTAGGATACGAATTTCGGAGAAAATTTATAAAGAACTGTAATAAAAATAGCAAACTATGTTTCATTACAACCATGATTGTCATGATCATTAATTCTACTAATTATAACTATAATTGTAAAAAGATATTTTATTTTGATGTAATTAATAAAGAACTCAATATAAGAGAGTTTTTTAAATTTATTCAGAGATTATTGAATCAATGATTATTTGACTATATATTGAAGGTAAAAAAAAATTTGATAGCATGAATAATAAGTAGGTGTTTGGGGTAAATTAAAAGGACTGGCTTACTTCCTGTCTTTAATCGGATTGGACGGTGTTGTTCAGCTCATGGGAGTTCACTATGGGTTTCGTTTTGATAATTTGAACCGTTTAATGTGTAGAACTCTTCGAGTACTATATGTTTGTAAAAAAATCACGTTGATCGAATATTGATAGTTATGTGATCAAATCAGTTTTGTATAAAAAAAAATAAACAATGAACAAATTAACGATTGACAAAAATTGATAAGATGAGATAACTATCTATATCCGAATATGATTTTTTACAAACATATGGTACTCGATGAGTTTTTCACATTGAATGGTTTAGATTATTAAAACGGGATTCGTGGTGGATCCTCATGGGCCGAACAATACTGTGCAGTCCGACTAAAGACATCCGATTAAAGACAGGAGGTAAGTTGTTGCCAAATTAAAAAAATGTATTTTTTCTTATCTATCTATACTTATTTGGGTCATATCTATCAATATTTTTCTCTACTTTTCTAATTATTATTTTTTATTTTTTAACACATTTTTTTTATAAAAAATCAAAAACTATACGTACAATATCCCAAATTTTTATAAAGTAAAAACTTATTGTGAAGGATTGTGTAAGGTAGATCTTTACTTGTTTTTTATTAAAGTATTAATATTTCAATTTTTGTTGTACATGTAATTTAACAAATTTTCATGCTTTTATTGATGTGACTAGAAATATATAGAATTTTGCATAAAAATTGATTTTGATATAAGTTGTATTAAATCTATACTAACATAACCATATTGATGATACTTATTAAATGGTATCATGAAAATCCTAGGAACACCATGTGTAGCATTTTTTTCAGGGGTCGGATTTTATTTTATTTTATTTTTTTCATATTTAAATGTGAACTTGACAGAATTTGTGAAGCTCATAGAACTCACCACTCACCACAGGTCACATTGTTCGTTTCATTTTGTAGGGGGTTTATATCATCTGTGGAAAAATTAAGATGATTCTATAATTATGCATCAATGTTTTTAAAAATAGATTATTTATTTTTTTTGGGAGAAACATGATATAATGAATGATTATTGAATTTAATTTATTTCATGTATGATATACATTGAGAGTTTTACAAAAGAAACAATTCAGATTATTGACACAAGACATTTGGTGAGTTTTACTGGTCTCTCAAGTTCTCTTGAGATAATCATAAGTTTTTTAGAAAATGAGTTGTATGGTGCAAATTTAAAATTTGATGTGATGTGGATTCTTTTAGAATAATTGTGATTTATAAATGTGTATATATATATATATATATGAGTTTATATAGTATTGTCAATCTAAAATTTTTTTTTATTATATTTAGGAATAATTATTAGTAGGTCCTCGTAAGTTTTGGGTATTTTTATTATGTATATATACATTTTGTTTTGATAATGAAAATTTAATAAGACTTTTTAGATGTGTTTTATGTTCGTGGAATGTTTATTTGGTATTGATAATTATATTAATAAATTTATCAAAATATTATATAATTGGATTATTTTTGTTTGTATTTAGGAATTTTAATTTATTTTTCGTTTATTTGTGTAAATTTGTATTGAAATATGATGCGAAAAGTGTAAGTAGTTAAATTATATTTAAAAAAATAATAGTTATAATGATAAATTTATTGCTAAGGGCCTGTTTGCTTTTACAATTAGGTGGGGTGAGATTGTTAGTATAGGGATTGTCAGTGAGTGATTATTGGTGTAGAGAATTGTTAGTGAAGCGATTAAGAAAAAATGTGTTTATTTAATGATCACCAAACTAGTAAAATTTTTATTTGTTTTGTGATTCTAATCTTAGTGTTTTTGATATGTTTTAATATTAAGAATTTTATATATTTTAAATATATATATTTGGCACTATATTATTTTAATACCCAAACATCCATATTTTCAATCTCAATTTTTTAGTCCAAAAAGACAAAAAGTGCACTTATTTAGTCTTCCCAAACTTGGCCTTAGTATAGGGATTGTCAGTGAGTAATTATTGGAGTAGAGAATTGTTAGTGAAGCGATTAAGAAAAAATGTATTTATTTAATGATCACCAAACTAGTAAAATTTTTTATTTGTTTTGTGATTCTAATCTTAGTGTTTTTGATATGTTTTAATATTAAGAATTTTATATATTTTAAATATATATATTTGGCACTATATTATTTTAATATATTATTTTTTATTAATATATATATATATATATATTGTATAAATATATTATTATACTATTGAAAAACGACGGTCAAAATAATTATTTGTTACCTCTAATCCAATGCAATTGGATTTGAAGGCTACTTTTTCCATAGGATTGGTAGTTCCCTGACTAGAGGATATTTCTAATCCTATTAAACTGTTGCAGATTTTTAAAATAAACATGAAGTTTACGGACCGCACTTCACTGCTAACTCCATCTCTCTTTGTTTAAATCATTACAAATTCATAAATAGATCTAAGGAGTATTCCTTATAAATTCAATTACAATTAAATTTACATGGATATGTAAGTGGGTACCATTTTTGTCACCACTGTTCCACTACGTCCACTGCTTTTACTTTATTACATTTACAATATTGTTGTCGCTACTATCACTCCATTGTTGTCACTGCTCTAACAGCATCATTGCCGCTGGCATTTTATCAGTACCATCACCTTTACTATTGTACCATTACCTCTACCAATACACTACCACCACACGTCTACCATTACATTGGTGGTGGTGCTTGTGAAGGTAAGTAGTAAGGTAGTGGTGGTAGTGGTAGTAATAACAATGGTAGTAAGGTGGTGGTATGGTGGTTGTGGAGGTTGCAGCGGTGGCGATGATGTAGTGGTGATAGTTGTGGTGGTTGTAGCAGTGGTGGTGGTGATATAGGGGTTGTAGTTGTGGTTGAGGTAGTGATAATGGTGGTGTGGTAATAATTGCTAATGTTTTATAGTTATTTTATAATAGAATGAAATGGAATGACAATTTCTTAAGTTGGAATAATGAATAGGCATTTTTATATTGGGATAACCATTTTATTGGGATAATTATTCCCACTTAGATATAACACATCAAACAAGTGAAAATGAATGCAAAATTATAATGGACATTCCATTTCTGCCCATTTCATTGTATCAAATTTGTTCTAGAAGTGTCAAATGCGTAGGTTTAGGTGAATCAAAATAAATTGTGCACTAAACATTTCTATCAAAACCTACATATTTAATAAAGAGCAAATTACTAACCGTTCTTATAGTTTGAGATTTATGTTATTTTGATCTTTGACTTTTTAA